GCCCCGTGACCGTGTCTCCCGCAGGTGCTGTGCGTGACGGATGCGGTCCCCGAGCCGCGGAGCTGCCGGGCGCTGCCGGGAGTGCCCAGAGCTCTCCGGTGCAGGGCGGATGTGAGCGTGTCCTGGGACCCTGTGGAGTGTGCCGTGTCCTGAGCCGGCATTGGTGGCTCTGGGGAAATAATAAAAGTGCTTGGGCTGGCTCTGTCGTGTCTGTCCTGCAGGGCAGGGAGGTGCTGTGGGGTAGGGGGAGCCCACCTGGATCTGGGGAGCTCTGGGCTGCTGAGCATCCCCCCTCCCTCCGGCGGTGCCGAGGCTGCTCAGACACCCGGCAGAACAAAATCCCTGAGCCCCGAGGGCAGCCCAAGGCCTTGGGGGCTGCAGGACACAGTGTGGGGGGACAGAGGGGCTGGGCTGGACAGGGAGTGACCACAGGCATGGCGCTCCTGTCCCTTCACCCCAGTGACAGGAAGGCCGTGCTGACCCTGCGCTGCAGGAGACCCTGGGGCAGCTCCAGCAACAGGATATGGGCTCAGTGATGAGACAGGGAGGGCAGCAGCCCCCCAATACCAGCTGTTCCCTGGCAAGGGCATCCTTGGACAGGTACCCAGGGGGGGTACCTCGTCCCCAGGGTGAGGCCAGGAGCAGAGCACCCAATCTGGCTGCAGTCTCTGACCCCAGGAGGGTTCCCAGGGCTGTGCTGACCCCAGTGGCCACTGTGCTCGTTAGGAAAGGAGCCAAGGAGCTTCCCCCTTCAGCTGCAGACCTCACCCACCAAGGCCCTGACCTGCTGCACCATCCTTGGCATGGTCCAGCCCAGGTGGAGGCTGCTGGTGCTGCACCTGTGCAGGAACCTTGGTGGGCACCAGGGCCACCAACTGCCGCAGGGGACATGGCCCAGTGTCCCCACTGTGGGTGGGGGGCCAGCACGGTTATGGCCTGGACACCCCCAGGGGGGTCAGCATGGCACCGCAGGCCCCTGGTGCTGACTCCAGTCTCGGTGTTGAGCCCCTGCCTGCAGCCCCCCATCTGCAGCCCCGCTTTGGGGGGGTCTGGGCCAAAGCTGCTGCTCCCCTCAGCAGGGTCAGGGCTGTACTTACAGGCACTGGCTCCAGGGAACATGCACTGCAATCTCCTTCTGGGGAGGCTGCCCTGGGATGGGTGCTGGAACCAGGGTCTTAATCTGCACCTGGGGGATGTGGGGGAACCCCACAACTCAAAACAAAACAACCCCACAACAAACAAACCACAGAAAACAAAGTCACAAACTTGGAATTCAGGCTATTTTCCTGCACCCCCCCCTTTTAACTCCATATTCAATTGTGCCCCTGGGACTCGGGGGCTGTCAGTAAACAGCTCAGCAGAAGAGCCCAGAGGCACTTGGAGGAAGAAACATCATATGTCAAAAGTTCTCAAAGTAAACTCAGCAGCAGTTCCGGAGGCCCCGAGGAACAGCAGCTCCAGCTGAGCCAGAGGGGCTGACATCCCCACACAAATGAGTTCCACCCGCAGCACCCACCCGGCGACAGCGGCAATTAAATGCTTCTGTCATTTTTTAATACCAGCGGTACCTGCCTTGTCCTGGGGGTGGCTCAGCGACGGGGTGGATGCGTCACCAGGGCTGAGCTGTTTGTCCTTAAGGACAAACTCCTCTGCAGCGCCCGTGGGAAGGGGCTGTGCACTGCAGAGGGTGAATTTGTGCATTCCACAGCTGGCAGACCCCAGGAAGGGACCGACAGCTCCAAGTCAGAGCTGCTGTGCCAGCCCTGGGACTGGGAGCTGCCATGCAGGGAACACGCTCAGCCCCAGCACGGTGGGGTCCCAGCACACATCCCCTGTACCCCCTTTCTGCTACCTGGGCTCGAGCCCTAAAGAGACCAGTGCACAACTCTTCAACATTTTATTAATGATCAGCAACAAAAGTTTACAACAGTGAGGACACCAGACCCAGCCTGGCAGGACTGTCTGGCCCAGTGCAGGGAGCAGCTCAGGATGCCCACCACAGCACCCTGGAATGTAAGAGGCAGAAGGGGCTCAGCCCAGCACCCATCCTCCTCAGGCCCTGTATCTCCACACAGGGGCACACGTGCTGCACATCAGTCCTCAGAAAACAACCCCAAAACTTCACCTGGCCAGGTCCCACCCTCATGTAACCCCTTGGGCACAAGATGGATTCCGGCAGCAGCAACAAGGGGGGTTCTGAGCACAGTCCACACAAGGCACCAGGTCCTGCTGTCTCGCAAATGGAAGAGCCTTTGGGAGAAGGTCCCAGGGTTCCCATGCCTTACGTGGAGAAATGCCTCAATTGAGGGTCCCTGCACCACCTGTCCCCTCAGCAGGTACCACCCACTGCCTGTCACTGAAGCAGCAAATGATCTGCCTTTATCCAGCTCAACCCAGAGTAGCTCTGGGTCTGCACAGGGGCACGAGCTGAGGAGAGGCAGCACAGTGGACCCCAGAGTCCAGAAGCACCTCCAGCAGCAGCACTGATGGCTCTAAGCAAAAGCTGCAGGAGGAACTGTGGGGGCCACATCCCCCCAGCCCAAGGCCACTCTCACTGTCAAGCCGCCCCCACCTCTGCCCAAGGGGCTGCTCTGGAATGCAGACCCCAGTCAGGACAGCCAAGTCTGGCAGGGCAGGGGGCCTGGGCAGCTGCTCCACTTCCCTCCTACTAAGAGCCAGAAATGGCAGAAGGTAAAAGCACATCAACATGTTAAAACATTAGTTATAATTAAAACCATTTTTTTGTCAAATCTCCTTCTGGGAAAGGGAACCGGGGCTGATTAACAGAGATAAAACTAGGCAGCGGGATCCCAACTCATTATGTCTGCGTAATTAGTGCAGGAGGAGCTAGGACAGCAGAGGGGAGGACAGCACATCCTGCGTGCTGTTGCTCCCGCAGAGGGCGAGGCTGCAGCGCTCTGTGGCCCACACGTCCACGCTCTGCAGCCTAGTGCTTCTCCTCCTCCAGCCTCCTCATGGCCTCCAGTACAGCCAGCTCTTTCGCTTCCTTCTTCTGGTTCCGAGCTTCAAACTCCAGCCTGCATCAATCACACAATGCCTTGAGATTCTCATCCATCCCCACCTCCTGTAGACAAAAGCACTTGGAGCAGGAGAGCGCTGCCTTTTCCTATGCTATTCTGTTCTGAGAGCACTTCAGAAACCCTCCTGGGGCCCCCAGACTCTTCCACAGCCTCTCCCAGAGGTCCCCATGGCTGTTGACATGACTGCAGTCCTGGGCTCCCACACTACTTCTCCCTCTGTGGAAAAAGCTACTATTCTGTTCTTGGTCTGTCCTGGGACATCTCAAATAGTAACACCAAAAATCAAATTTACCACTGATCTGAGCCAAGGTCGCTGAAGGTGAAGAGCTCAGGCCTAAAACAGCAAAGCTCTGAAGGAAGTAACATGCTCTTTTGCATAGGATACAGCAAG